AAAAAAGAATCTCTGCTTGAACATAGATTGATTCCTTAGCAACACCCAATCCCGTCAGGCAGACTCTGTGGATGGCTTTTAGGCTTGCCTCAATCCGTTCAGAAAAAAAAAATTAAAAAGAACATTTAGTCTGAATTAGAAACTAGTGTTTCTAACATTTAGATGATTCTTGCTTTTATTTCTCAAAGTGCATTTTCGTTTTTGCTCAACATATGCTAACAGATATGTTTTACAGTTAAATTTACTACAGCAGGTACGGGATATACTACACAAGAYGCCTGCAAGATTTTCCTACTTTTTTTTTTCCCTAACTACTGGAAAGAAAYGCATTGAAGTTCATGCTAAATATGGGTATGAAAGTGGAAAAAGATATGCTGGCAGCAATCATAAAGGATGTTAGGCAGTTATGATACTCTCATTCTGGTCTTCAGCTGCATTCAATCTACTCATGAGTTCTCAGATTTTTTTAATATTCTATACAAAACATCCTGTAGTGCAGCAGTCTGGTCTACTGTGCTTCAGGAAATGAAGTAAAAGAATAATTTCTTGTGATTCTCTACTACACGAGCAGGAACAGAAGTGCAGCCAAGTATAGGTCATTCATACTTGTTAGCAGAAAACCTGCCATTAGTAGGAAGCCTACCAGCCACCAAACACAATTTGGTGAACTAAGTAATACAACAAAGCAGAAAGAACTTTATATAGGAACAGCATACTTCCTTAACATATCATAACTTGCATTGTATTTTAATTATCTATGCATTACACAAGTTCATAGTTCTACTAAAAAACAGAGTGAATCATAAGACACAAAAAAAAAACCCGCTTAATCCCAAAATATGAAATCTCAGTAGATCATAAGGAACACCGTGTTTTCAAGCTGTATGTTTCCCTATGTGTTYATACAACCACACTTCTGTGTTGCTAACACAGACTTATGCAGCATCTTACATTCTTGTAGCAATATTTAAATGAAGGAAAATAAAGATTTTTAACATGATTTAAGGAAAAGAGCTGAACTGTAGATGGGGTCTACTTACTACATTYATTCAAACATGCTTTATATTTCAGAGTTTGTATTCATTCAGAGTTTTATCTGGTGAACTAAAACAATAGCCCCACAAGTAGACTTTTTTAAATGAGCACAAGAAAATAAATATCATTCTTCTTTTCTTAAACAAGTGTATCAACAATAACACATGAAGTGTTACATATAACAACCCCCGTCCTACCCCCCCCCGTAAGAATTCTCAAAATACTATTAAAAGTTAGCAGGGAAGCGGGAGTGTTCCCTTCACACATGATGCCCACGTGTGTGCACACAGCTATACTAACTACATTTGAATTTGCATGTAAATAGTGGCTGCCAACACACACCAAGTTCACGCCACAAACCAGATAGCTGGATACAGTCACAATTTAGTGTAAAGATGCTGTAATTTTTACAGAATTCCTCCTTCCTCTACTATTCTAACCACTGTTTGAGATTGCAAGATCTGTTCAGCTTGCTCAGAAAGCGGCAGAAAATATTAAGTGAGCTAATTTATGATGAAACTGACTTATCATATGAACTACTGATAATYTTTAAAGCTTTAATTGTTAGAATTTGATACAGCCCTTTATGACTCCTGTCCAATGTGCTTTCATAACTCTCAATGGGTAGTATTTATCTGACTTATTTACTAATTAGTTCCAAATTACAAGTGTCCCTCAGGTCTGAATCATTTTAATGAGAGAATGAACTGACTTACACAGGTTTATAATACTAATGAAGAGAAATGAAAGAAAAAGGATTTGTATGGATAAGATCAAGCAAATGGAAAGCTTGATATTTCGAAAGTATTTCCTAAATTTATCATCACATGCAGGTAAAAAATTGTCTGTTAAATCTTTCATGACATTGTTAGTCCAAGATCTATGTTTACTCTTGATTTATTAAAAAAGTTAAAAGCTATGGGAAAAGCAATACTCCATCCTGCAGATACTGTGAATGTCACTGTCTCCATAAGGATACAGAATATGGACAAGCACATGAAGAATAATTGCATATTTTCAAGCCACTTAAATRGAACATGCCTAAGGGCATGCTGCGGAGGAGCCAGCATTTTCATCAGCAGGTAACATATACAATTTCCTTTCCAGGAGTCAGAGAATCCAAGTTTATGTGAATTCTAATATATCACTTTTCTACCAAGCACACTGTTGTAAGAAATAGGCGCATTGGTGTCTTTAGTTTAAAATCAATTTCACTTCCCTTAGACATCAAAGGACTGGGGAAAATAAAGACTGTTAGTACACGATGCCTACTTTCTAAAAGTGCTTTTTTTTGGTGGATTTAAAGCTCTTAATTTTTACATATAAAATATATATAYACACATTATATACATGTGTACRTATATAATAATATTATACATGAATATATATGTGTATACACACATAAAAAGTGTACGTAGTCTATGTATTCTCTTTATAGTTAGCTTTCCATCAGCATTTTGGTCGTGACAGGTGACTTGCATCCGACTGAAACTGTGTGCTTTCTCCAAAGTCACTTTTTCAATATCACCACCTCTCCATTTCAAAAACCTCATGGGGAACAGCACTGCTAACCTGATCTATCTCAAAGRTCTATGAACTAGTTGCTGTTGCTGCAAGTCTTGACCCAATCTGTCTTTATACTGATGAAAGTTTTGTTTAGCATGTCTGTATCCAAGTCACACTGATATCCTCGTGAGCGTTTCCCCTGTGTGGCACTTGACATTCTCTTCTGTAAACTCACCTCAGATGGATGGAAGGCACAGGGAATGATTTGGTTAGAAAAGCAATGTATTTCAAAAAACAAAAATCTAACTCTGTTCAGTTTAGGAAAATCTGAATGAAAAAAAGTATATCTCAGTTTAAACCCTAAAGCCATGATGTGGTATCACATATTACTTCGGAGGAAACTTGGACACTGGTGTAGTAAGCAACTCTTTAGTTCCCTCTGCTATTACTGGCTACACTTCTGCTTTATTGCTGATCCCAAACAACTAAGGGAAGAGAGAGAGAAAAAAAAAAACACAAAAAACAAAAACAAACCACAGATATACTGGGTTTTCTGAGACAGAGATTAACTTTAACCTAGTGACAGTGTAAGAAAGACTTAATTTTCTATCACAGATAGTTACTGGGTCCATTACGCACTAGTAATATAATTCTGAGATATAAAACTCCTTTGGCATCCACTTAGCACCTCTGTTGTCTTAGTATGGCTGTATCATTACCCAGCTTTTAATGTTCATGCCTCATTTACTTAAAGGATGTTAAATAAATGACATCCTCATAGGAAAGCTCTGCAAGTGTGGACTGGACAGGTGGACAGTGAGGTGGGTTGAGAACTGGATGGATGGCAGAGCTCAGAGGGTGGTGATAAATGGGGCTGAGTCCAGTTGGAGGCCTGTGGCCAGTGGTGTCCCCCAGGGGTCAGTACTGGGCCCCGTGCTGTTCAATTTGTTCATCAATGACCTGGACGAGGGCACAGAGTGCACCCTGAGCAAGTTTGCAGATGACACCAAGCTGGGTGGAGTGGCCGACACTCCGGAGGGATGTGCTGCCATCCAGAGGGACCTGGATAGGCTGGTGAGTTGGGCAGAGAGGAACCTCATGAGGTTCAATAAGGATAAGTGCAGGGTCCTGCACCCGGGGAGGAATAACCCCAGGCACCAGGACAGATTAGGGGTCGACCTGCTGGAAAGCACCTCCACGGAGAGGGACCTGGAAGTCCTGGCTGACACCAAGTTAACCATGAGGCAGCAGTGTGCCCTTGTGGCCAAGAAGGCCAATGGGATCCTGGCCTGCATCAGGAGGATGTTGCCAGCAGGTCAAGGGAAGTGATCCTGCCCCTCTCCTGAGCTCTGGTGAGGCCGCACCTGGAATATTGGGGGCAGTTCTGGGCTCCTCATTATAAGAGAGACGTGGAGCTTCTAGAGAGGGTCCAGCGGAGGGCAATAAAGATGATTAAGGGACTGAAGAACCTCTTGYWTGAGGAAAGACTAAGCAAGCTGGGCCTGTTTATCCCAGAGACGAATGAGTGGAGATCTGCTAAATATGTGTAAGTACCTGAGGGGAGATTGTAGGGAGGAAGGGGCCAAGCTTTTCTAAGTGGTGGCCAGTGACAGGACAAGGGGCAATGGGTCTAAGTTGAAACACAGGCAGTTCCATCTCCATGTGAGGAAGAATTTTACTGTGAGGGTGACAGAKCAGTGGAACAGGCTGCCCAGGGAGGTTGTGGAGTCTCCTTCTCTGGAGATCTTCCAAACCCRCCTGGATGCTGCCCTGTGCCCCGTGCTCTGGGTGTCCCTGCTTGAGTGGGGTTGGACTAGATGATCTCTAGAGATCCCTTCCAACCTCAACCATTCTGTGATTCTGTGAAATGTCACCAGATAAGTAAATAGTATCAAAGATATAATGGTGGTATTTTAATTACTTGAAAGGTCATGCCTTTTAACTGTTCTTTAGGAAATCAGCATATTCAGAAACAAGGTAGAAGCAGATCTATCAGAGAGCAAATAATCATAGGCAGCAGACTGCACTTTCCTGAGCTTCTTGCTGGTCTTAAATCAGGGTCAGGCACATATCTTAGCCATGCTAAATTGCTCAGTAGTCAAGYCTATGGATTCCTATTGGTTGCTTTACTGATTAGACATGGTACTGGTATGCCTGAGCCCTTCCTCACACAACATGGGGCAGTAATGYGGTATGCAGCAGTAAATAATGCTACAATATTGCAGTATCACAGGCTATGCAGTTTACTCTTCTCTCAGCTTGTGTGATGAGTTTATGGGCCTCCTTCAAAACTCTGATCTACAAACACTGGATGGTGTAGCACTAGCAGCAAAGAACTACTACAAGATGGGTGATACTACAAGTGGCAGTTTAGCAGTCTGAGAAGAATGCAGACACTATCTGTAGAAAAGTCAAGAGGATAAAAATTCRCTGAGGTGGACTCTGCCTTTATGGCCCTGCTTATTGAAAAAAAAAATATCATTCAGGAGTCTCCGTGCAGAGCACTACAGTCCTGTGCATTGATGCTTGAGTGAGCTCAGGTATCAGAAGAATATGCTTATACCTATACATTTTGCTTAGCATTTTTTCTTTGATGGCTATGCTTCTGGTGACATCAACCCGCTGAAGGATCCTCAAGGCACTCTGAATAGCAGATAGTTATTATTTTTTAAAAATAAGAACCCAGTCAAACACATAAAAGCAAAGTTCCATGTATACAATGTGCTCAAGCTATGCCCCTATTTGTCTTGTAACAACCTTGCAAGAGCAACGTATATTCCAGTAACAGCAAGGCTTAATTATTTTAATTCCGTGGTCCAGGAGTTTTCAGCAGGGTTTCTTTGCTGCTTGCAGCTTTTGCAGAATGTAGCCATATATCTGATCACTGGTTTAAGTGGCTATGATCACATTACACCCACACTGCATTCTTTTCATTGGCTGTCTATATAGTGGCAGATTGATTTTTAGCTGGCTCTGTTGGTCTTTTTAGTGCTCCTAATAATAAAAAGCCTGAGCAAATAGAAAACTTGCTCATAGCTGTTTTATGCACACACTCATTTACAGGGATTAACCCATGATAATCTACTGTGTCTTAACAGACAACTGTATATTTGTCCTGGGACACACTACAAAAGAAACAATAACCTCTCTCCAGTACAGAGAGAGGCAGGGCACAGAGCAAACAGTACAAAGACCAAGCCCAACCAAGGGATTTGGTTCAGCAGTAGAGGACCTTCCAGACTTGTGAAATGCAGAGCTCGGCAGGTGCAGAGAGCTCCTGCCTGCAACTGAGACCAAGTCCTAGCAAGCCGTGATCAACAGCACCTTGTGTCCTCCAGAAGCAGCACTTCCTGACTTCTGCTCAGTTTCTCTTGGCACTTTGAGATYCTAACAGGGGAAAGAAAAATACAATCAAGCGTCAACTTCAAAAGCATTCAACTCCTGCCTCRGGGTGAAGGCTCTTTCCAGCTTGACATCTGTTCCAGCCCTTCCCCCTCTGTCTGTAAAGAGACTTGGTCAAATTAATTCAGTGTCTTTAAACACAGTGTCTTTAAAGAACTTTTCTCATTAGCGTTCTTCAGGCTCCATCTAACAACTGCAGGTAACTGCAATGGCATTCCTTGGTCTCTACATCATCGAGAAAACAGTACTCAAGGGGTGCGACAGAGGAGCTGGTTCATGACCAGGTCTTCCTCAGTCACTGTACCCCTTACTCAAAAATAAGGGCCACTACTAGACCCACTAAGTTAGATGCAGCTTCTCTCTTTCTTTTTCCACCCCCTACTCCCCCTCTCCCCCCTTCTCTCAACTGCCTGCTTTTTCTCYGAGATTTTGCAACTCTGGCTGCTAAACCTCTCAGGCTGAGGATGTTTAGACACCATGAAGAACAGCTCAAGAGCATACAAAGAGAAAACTGCCGCCAATCTTAGACTATTGCCGTTTTTGTGGCTTTTCACGGCAGGAGGAGGTGCCACTTGGGAAACCCTGCAGAACAAGAAGGCAATCAACCAGAAACACTTTTTGCCTGGAGGACAGCATACTAGTAGGCCAACAGAGAGGCTCCCTTCTGCCAAGAAGATAGGGAGCTCTATTAAACAGTGAGCTTTCAAATTGAATGCTCCAAAAAAGCCCATGAAGTGATAGTATACGAGGATAGGCCTCTCAATTGTGACTACCAATCACAATCACAAGATATGGAGCTAATACTTCTGCCTCACCACATACACCTGTGCAGAGCCATGGGCAATCTGACTCCAATGTACACAGATCTATATCAAACTGGTTTGTGGGTTTTTCTTCTCAAAAAACCCAAATTCATCTAAAATGAATAACAAAAATATACTCAGCCTGAAGAAACAGCAATAAACAATTAAGATGGAATGAGTGCCAACTATGCAGAAATATTTCTAATGGAAAGATTTGCTTTTTATAACAAACTCCAGTGCTAACCTTCATAACTTCAACAAAACCCAGCCACATGAAATTTCACAGTCATGATCTTATGCCAAGGAAAGCTTCTCTGGAAAGTTTGAGGTAGATTGGCCAAGGCATCTTGGAGATATGAGAGTTCCAAAAAGTGAGGTGTTCATTTCTTGGACTGCTTCCTAATTTTTTTTGGCTCATCATAGCTTAAAAATGGGTGGCTTTGACATTCCAAGTTCACTTGGCTACTACTGSTGCCTTTGACTAGTTGCAGGGTATTTTATTACTGTATGTGGGTTTGTGCAAATTCTGAGTGCTGCAGTTAACACCACACATTGGCATACACATACCCCCAGGCAAGCCAGTCTGGACCACTACAGGCTTCTTAATCACCTCATCAGCTCTGCTCAAAAGGCAGAGCTGAAACCTCTTCCTTCAAGTCCAACAGTGTGTAAGAAGCTGGCTGGACTTTTCCATCTCCACAGGGAAGCTACCTTTCCCTGAACTGAAGAGGAGCATTCCCGAAAAGCTTACAGGCCTCGCCAGTGCCAACGTGCCTTTCTTGGAAAGTCAACTGCAGACCAGGCATGGATGAATTCTCCCCTCAGACTCCTTGTATTTCACCTATTATTCTTCCAATCCATACTTGGCCTTATTCTCTCAATCTCCTCAAAGTTTCTCAGGGCGCATCCGAATAACACCCAAATCATCCTCTACGTTACTGACTCACCCCACTGCAGAGGCCCACAGATTGTCACCTACTTCCTGGGCYCTTGGGGCTTCTTCTGAAGTCTGTATTCTGTATTTGGAGCTTTGCACACATATGCACAACATTCCTTATTAGATGTCTGGGCAGGAGGACACAAGATGAAGATCTCAGCTCCTTAAGGGACAAATTTTCACCTGAGCAAACCAGATGCTTTGTTGAATCCTGGTAAGCTTCGGAGTGACGMATAAGCTCCTTGTGTGGATTGCTCTGCCTACAGTCTCGATTTTGATAACAGATACTATGACAACCTCACTCATCTCTTGACATAACCTTCAGCATGGTCACCTACTTTATACAATTCTCCTTAATCTTTGTTATTTCCTTTGGAACTGACTATCACCYGCTGAGCTGCCACAAAAATATACATTGCACAGCTCATCAGTGGTGGAAAACATCAGGGCATTAAAAACACTTCTCAGTGAAGTACTTTTCTATAAGGAAAGTGCCTTGGTTACAGAGAGACTTATTCTTTTTGAGACGCACACATGCATGACTCCCATTCACCAGAGTTATGTGAGTGCATCAAAAGTAGAATAGGCTTGAAAGTGTCTGCATTTACCAAACATTGATCCTGCCCAGAAGTGCCTTTTAAGAATGACATACTCTTCAACCTACTGCATCTCACTTTCGCTCTCAAAGAACAAAAGACTTTGCAATCATCTTGTCACTTGCGTTTAAAAGCTAAAGTTATGATATGAGCATAAAAAAAACCAAGAAATACAAATAATCTGCACAGTATATGGGAAGAGATGATTTTTTCCCACATTTCTTAGCCAACTGTGTATTTATTGGCACTCTTATTTGTAGCAACTTTACTTATCTGTYGAGTCACCTTTTTAAATGCAGATAATTTGTCTGCAATAGTTGCTTTTCACAGGCGATCATGCAAAGCTCAGTCTGGCTTTGTTATTATATATATAAATATATATTWTATATATATATAAAAAGAGGGGGGGAACTCAACTCTCCAGCCCAGGGCTGAGCATAGTCCCCATTGCCGTTGCGGGAAGGCATCCTATGCTGCTGTACCTGGCCCACAACACAGGCTATTGAGTGAGCTAATGAAAAGAGCATGAGGAGGATCTGCAAGCACTTCCCTCCCCCCATCAATCCACAGAGGGCCAGTCACAGTCTGACCCTAACTTAACACTTGGGCTGTAAACTTACTTAGCACTCGTATAAGAATTTCTTTTTTCAAACATACTGAGGGCAGCATATGGCCCATCGACAGGTTTATTATTATGAGACACTTTTTCCAGCAGGTTATAGTCTTTTTTTTTTATAAACATATGTTTCAGCACATAATAAAATGCCTAAAACTAACTGTTTCTGAAACATAATCATTGTGCAGACACAGATACTACTTTTCAAGGTTTCTCAAGATAATGAAAGAAACAATTTTTAAGRTACTTCCAGTTTTCTAAACCTTGGTTTTAAATCTAAGGCTACTGAGACTTATGGATGGAGATATAGATGGATAGATACACACACACAYACAGATGGAAAAGGAGGGGGGGAAGAGAGAAAGAGAGATCTGTTAAAGCCACATTATTCTCCATTTTGTCAAAGCAATTATTTTTATATTTAGTAAAAATTTCCCTTCCACTAAGTAGACCTTTTAACTATACTTTAAATCAGAACACAACTACAGTAATGTAAATTCATCAATGCAAAACCAKTCTTGCTATTCTGTGCTCCTCAAGGTAGTTACAGTACATGGATGCAGGGCCATGTTCTATTTAAATGTCTAAAACATGTCACTTAATTTTATTATAAACCACTTGTGTATTTTTAAGACAAAGTAGTTTTTCTCTGGGCAGCCACAATGCAACTTTTATGCTAGTACCACCATTTAGAGAAGTATCACTCAGTGTACACTGCTTACTTYCAAATATTCCTGTGCTCTTCTTATTCCTAACACTTCTTCTCTAAAGACTTACCATATATTTAGCCCAAGGAGGTTTTCTTTTAAAACCAACTTCTTCAAAACATCAAAATGTGACCTCGCTCACCTAGGTTTTTGAAGAGATTCATTTCCTACTACCCAAGTTTATTGTCTCTTGTTGAAAAGAGCTTGCAGTCGGAATACAAATGAAGAATCACATGGGTACAAATCAAAAGTCCACTTGAAGTCAGTGGGAGACTTTTAACTAGTTTTACGGAACYTGGAATCAGGGCCATGGCTCACTATAGGTCTTCAAGGGTGTATGACATTGCATGCTAAATAATTCTTACCTTCTTGAAAAATCATTTTGAACATTTGCTTGGGATTTAGGGTATTCTGGGTGGAGAAAGAACACTTGCTTATTTTCCCCAACAGCACTTTACATAAAGCATAGATGTTTCAAGTCATGAAAATAAATAATCAGTCAATAACAGGTGTGAAGTTTAAAAAAAAAGAAAAAATATGTGATTTTATTGTAGGCCCAGCGTTATAACTGGCACATGTAAGCTTGCATTTAAAGAAAACACTTGCTAAAACTAATAACCAACTTTTCAGTCGATTTGTCAGTAACTATTATCACACCTGGACATGATTAGATTTACTGGGAGACAGAGAGTACCCTCTACAGTACTTCCATAGCATAAAAGCTTAAATCAAACGAAGTCTTTGAATATTTTGTGGACAGCTCCAGATGGAGATGGGCCCTCAGTGAAGCTGGTGTGAATCTTACTTCTTTCTGCTTTTACAGAGGAAGCAGTTATAGAAGAGACAGGCGAACAGGACTGACAGTGAAATGCACTTTCTCCAAGCAGATACATTACAATTAGCAGTCACTCCATCCTATGCCATAAGTGTTTGGAAATATTTACCTGGCAGGGTCAGTTTTAGATTAAGATGARACATTAGCCGTTCTAGCAAGTCTTTCTACAAGGGCACCAGTTCTGCTTATCTAATTGCAGTGGGTGCTCCTATGGTCTGGAAACCTGTGTATTAGAAACCACATTTCACAGGTGACTAGGCAGCCATCAGATGGTCCCAGGTTTCATTTCCTACTAATCTGGATTCACAAAGGCTGCGGAAGGGTGAGAGATCCAATATTCTGTCAGAAGCYCCAAGCAAAGCAACACCAGCTCAGCACTGTGAATTATAAAATATTTACAGTATTTTTGAGATTTGCATTTCATTGTTTTGCATCAATATTATGAACTAGCATTGTCTTATGCAAGAACTATTCTTTTTAAAATAAAGCAAGTCTCGTGAATGATTAACTTAAAGAACATCTGCACTCCATGGTTATGCAATTATCTTAAGAACAAGGGCATTTTGGACCATTACTGAGAGAACATATTTTTACACACAAAAGACAAAGACTTTGATCCCTTCAAAGAAGGCAGCACAGACAGAAGAGACTATATGTTTAGTATTTCATCCATGATCAGACCTTTAACTGAGAAAGAGGTATGGCAGTGACCAGGCCAAAAGTATTTCTTCCAGTGATGAACTGAAGAGCTCATCTCAGGAGCAAAATTAAATACACAACTTAGTCTAGTGGAGCTGYTTTAAAGTGAAGAACTGACAAAGAKCCCTCATCAGATTTTACATCCTCTGAACCTTTAGCTCCATCAATAACACAACAGATTCACAAAGTTACAGAACAAACCACCACGATGCAGCTATTTCTTTACATTTTGCGAGTCAAATATCTTTCACAAGGAGAGATACACTGAGATACATTCCACATTTAAACAGTCATTTGGTTCAACTGGTTTTGTGCTTAGTCTTCGGAAAGCACCTGCACATCACCGCACTCTTAAACTACCTCAATCTAGTATTGATACAATTTTTTATATATATATATAAAAAAAAATGAAGTGTACATGAAGTACAGCAAATCCTACTGTGATGACAATTGCAGAGCTATGCAATAAATGACATTTACTTTTTGCTCATATTTTGATTTATGAGGTTAAACCTTGCAGAGAGCACATCATAATACCACATAGGGACAGCTATAAGGTTGCATCCTCAACAAGAGCTAACAGTGGAAAAGGCTGGCGCATCCCAGAGGCCAGATCTGCCGCCTGCCCGCAGCAAACACTGAATTTTCAGCAGTCCTCAGTGGTGTGGAAGCTCTGGCCTCCCCAAAGGGACTAATGTCAAACTGTGGCTTTGAAGGCCAGTAAACAGCCTCTGTCAGTGCATCTGTTAGGAGCAAGGTCCAAGGTCAACGACCCCCATCAAAAACACTGACAAAAGCTCCCTGACATTTAACTCTTAAAGCATTAATCTGTCTGGAAATAGTCAGTCTTTGAAAAATGAATGCAACAAACAATAATTTGAGCACACTTTACCTTCAAGGCCAGCCATTTACATGCTATTTAAAATCTGTAATTTTTCAGACCAAATAAATCCTTTCAAAATGGTTTTCTCAAAAACGTTATTGATTGAGAAATTCAGTTTGCTATAGCTGCACATTGTGAAGACCAGTCCCAGAATACAAAATGCTCTACAGAGTCATAATATATATTTTTTTCATGTTATTTTCAAGTTTCATATGATGATTGTGTTGTTTCATGTGATCTTCTTATATACTAAATGTAACAGCATGAATTCTGCTGGAGGGGGGTGGCATCCATTATGGAATTTATGTATGTAATTAAGCACATGAAGAAGGGTTTGCCRGATCTGAACCCTTTATTATAAGCTTTTTATGGCACAGACTTCACCCTGTGCTGCTTCTTTTACATCCCTAAAATTATTTTGAAGACACAGTACAACACTGGAAGGAATACTCTCTTTACATCAGTGGCTGTTTAAAAACTCTCAAAACTTTGAGAAGAAAAATACTTGCAACTTTCCCCTTTGTGCCATGGTTTTGTTGATACCTAAATGCCAATTAAAGAATGTTAAGGAAGACCAAGACATAGGGTATGTAATGGCACGTGGAAAGGTTGCTTTGAATTACTACTAATAAAACTACAAAGCAACAATTTGGAGCTACGCAAAGTATGAAATGTAGTGCTACGGACTGCCACAAATCAGAGACTAAAAGGTACAAAGTTGAAGCAAAAGCCATGTACGGAGCCACTCCAAAAATAACTGTGATCAGGTAAAAGTCTGAAAGCAATTATTTTTGCCGAATACTGTACACAGATCAGTGCACTAAGCTTCTATAATCAAACAAGACAACAGGTCAGGTGGTGCTTAATAAACCATTTACTCCACTAATTATATTCAAGTTGTGGCACCCTAGTACTTTGCAATAACTAGTAACAAGGGAAATAATTTGAAGAATAGTATGTCATGCTGCAAGTTCCTTTTTCATTCATCAGCATGAATGTCACCAGCCAGTCTTTCAAATACATGTCACACACAGGAAAGGGATACTGTTCAGTGTCAGGAAGAGCTCTTGGGAGGGCTAAAGCCTTTACTCAGAGGAACCCATGAGACTTATTCAACAAAAATGATTTCTGCACTATGAAAGTAACAGCCAAGCCAAATTTTGCATTCCTTGAATCGAGCAGCTCTGCCTTTGTTCCAAATTCACTGTGTCATAGAAGTGCTTACATTTGTTTTGCAGCAGCAGCAGCAACAGCCTCTCAGCAGATCTTCACAGATCTCAAYGTCTCTCTCACTCACCCCTCTCCTGGATTTGCACAGCGCCCACATAGCATTTGTATATCGTCCCACCCCCACTTTAATAGCATTTACAGAAAATTACCAAGACAATTAATATTGGGGAGGGGGTATTTAATTTATTTTGGCTTCTTTTAAAATCATTAGTAGCTAAATACAGGGAAAATGAACCAATACCATATGCTCAAATAGTTCTGTGGACCACCAGCTAATTGCTTAACACAGAGAGAAGTGCCCAAAACACAGTCTGAAAAGTATAGCAAAGAGATTTATATGCAATTTCTGATCACGCAAGGAATACTCAGGCAACTGAAGTAGGATCCAGCACGCTGCACTAGTACATGATGTAACTAATATCCACAGCATCAATTCAAGATGCTATCAAGATTATTCTATGGTTTTATCTTGTTTAGTTTTACTAATCTGAAATTGAAAAAAAATACATCAAATTCCATAGGAATAAATTAAGAAAGCAAAACAGAAAATAATTCTAAATTAGCATRGCATAGGTTTTGTTTATGCAGAGCTCTATATTTAAGGTAACCTCACAGATTACAGAGGAGGACAGATTTAGGGTAACATGCAACTTTATCCTTAATATTTCCCTACGGGGATGCTAACATATGTAAAGCCAAAATCACTTAGCTCATTTTAGCACGGTTTTGTAACACTTTACCTAGTTGTTTGGCTGTTTCTTACCTTTCCTCAGGAGAAGTCCTACAGCAAGATACAGACGCAGAAGGTCTGCAACTTCRCAACAACGCTCTAACGCTTTACATACATCCTCCAAATATGAATGTGCTGCCTGCACAATCCTGGGAAATCCTGTTCTCTGCCCAGAAGAACCGCAGAAGGGCTTGCTCACTATCACATCAGGAATGGGGAGGTCCTAAGTGCCATCTCAGAGGATCTCTTCCTACAAGGGTTTCCAAGTGCCTGGCAAATCTCCCTTGTAAAATCCATGCCTAAAATCCCTGCATGGAAATAAGCAGCCAGGACCCCACCTGGAGCCTCTCCAAGAACATCTCTCATTCAGGAGCAAATAGCCCATCTTTTGCTAAGAGAGCAACTTTTGGCCTTGGCGAGATATACACACAAAGCCAGAATCTATATAACTAGCGTGAGAGCATGAGATTTCAGATTTCTGCTCAAGTAATATTTTTATCAGAAGGAAAAAACGAACAAACAAAAGAAAGCTTACCCTTCTGAAAGAGGAATAACTTTAAACCAGGCTTCACATTTGGAAAAAAAAAAAAAAAAAAGCAGAAAAAAATAGAAACACCTGTAAAAGCTTTATCTTTACACAGAGAAAAAAAAAATAAGTCTCTCTTTAGGCCCCCTCCCCACACAAAAGCTGAATTATCACACATTATCAAAACAAGCTGATTTACTTTTGCATGAGTTTTCCAAAGCAGATACATTACACATATTCAAATTACCTGGATGCAGAAAACAGCAAGTCTGGAAATTTTCATGGCAGAGTGTAAATTCAGAAAGTTTGCTGAGACTGAAAAAGGAAGACCAGGAGACCAGACTGAAGAGAAGAAAAAAAAAAAATTAAAAAAAAAAAAAAGAAAAACTTTAACCTTGAGGTTTGGTATTGCCTCCAGCCTACTACCTAAGGTTTCCTTCCAGAAGGAGGGGAGAGAAAAAAATAGAAAAATAAAAATAAAAAGGAAATGACTAAATCTTACTCCAACAGCTCGCATCTAAACGACTCGAATGAGTAACACAGTSGGATTTCTTCCCCCAACCGCGGCTGCAACACGGCGCGGAAGGCACGAGGCAGGGCTGTTTGCTGGACAGCGGGGCAGGCAACGCYGCCCATCCGCGGCGCCTCCGCGGAGCCCTGCCTGCCTCCCTCCTCCGCGAGCGCCCTGCGCTCACGCGGCTCCTCAGCGCAAACACCGGAGCGCAGGGAACAAAAAGCCTCGGGAGGCAACCACGAGGAGGGCAGGAAGGAAAGGCAAACGCAGGTCTCGCTTAAATTCCTGGAAAGCGCCGCTGCCGCCGGCGTCTCTCCCGGCTCGGGGCGCGCAGCCCGCGCCGCGGCTCGGCTCGCACCGGCGGGGGGCCGCGGAGAGCCGCCCCCTTCCCCGCTAAAACGCGCGGAGAGCC